ACTCAGTAAAGAAAATAGTGTTTACTCTTAATCTTCATCATCTTCGCTTTCTACAGATTGTTTTTTTTGAAAGTTCATTTGAGTTCTATAATGTTTTTACAAAATATGGAATGGCGCATATGGATCGAACCGGAACCCGAAGCTATGTACAATAAGTTCCTTAATGATAAAGGGAATTTTGTTACCGTTTAAAATCAGTAAGACATTATTTATGTCTACGAAACCGTAATGTTCGAGAAACGTCATAACCATCAACAAAAATAATCTTTTGCTTGTAAACAGATATAGCTGTTTTTTGGGGGTAGGGATGCGGATGGGGAACCTGTTTTGTAATATCTTATTACAATATATAAAGATATTGAATAATTAAAGGAAAGAAATATCACAAAGGATGAATAAATTTAATTTAACAAAAAATATAAGTCGTATAGCAGTCTGAAGAATAATCAATATTTTTTTTTGGTCTGGCGAAAATTACAATGAACAAGAATCATTAATTCCTCCTGGCCTTATATCGGTATATTAATTGTACACATAATGAAAGCATGCATGGATGAAATCCAAGCAAAAGTTTATTAAGCCGTACGATCAACACCTACAATTTAGTACAGAGATTGTACAGTATATATTGGTATTGGTATTTACATGATAACGGTGTATTCTGAGTCAACGATAATTAGTTTGAGTTGATGCCCGTATGGCTAATAAAAAGCTATGATTTTTATTTATTTAAACCTTGATTCCTAGAAAGCTCTTTCATTCTCCAAAGATTTTTTTTAATAAAACATCCAACTTTCTCGCAAACAGTAACAAGTGCAATTAAGGTCGGTGATAAAGGCGTGTCATATTAATGATGACAAAGATGACTATGAGCTACTTCCACTTTGCTGTCTGCAGGCCAAAAATGGCGTGTCACGAAAAACCAAACGAGACTGTATAGGGACAAATGGAAATTTAATTCATTTTTAATTTAGTCAGTTGGATCACGAACTGTGTGATGTGAAAACATCCTTCTCATCAAACTTGATTAGGTGTTGAGATTTAAAGTCTTCTAGTCAAATTTGTTATGAATTTGGAAAAGAAAATCATGATTGACAGAGAATCTCAAACTCAAGCCCATATATTCATTATATCCAGGCATGCTCCTTTGCTAAAAGATGAGATTTGTTCCGTTGAACTATGTCAACTTTCCTGGGCCTATGTTTCAATGGGTCTTTCTGATTACGTGCTCTTCATTTGGTTTCTTGACTCTCATGTCATTTTTGAAGATATTGTTCTATTCTATACAGAGTTTTGCATTCATTGATATGTAGTAGTTGTTTTTTTTAAACTCTTTATGAAAGGACGCCGTTTTCTAGTGCCATGTAGTAATATTTTCCCCCAAAATAAATCGGTCTGACAAATCTCGCGCTCAGAGCCCAGGGGCTGACTTAAAGATGGACCATATATAACTAAAGTCAAGTGTCAGGTAGCCCAGTGCAATTGTGTAACAACATACCTACATAACGTACTGGTACTTTACAAATAACGATAAACTTTAGTGAGACATAATAAATGAAAAGTATAGTTTTAAATGTAACAATGTCACATTCTAGTACCTTTTTTGTCTTCTTGTTCTACTATGTTTAAGATATTTGCCAAACTTATTCACCAGGTAGCCCGCTACCATCTGAATTGTAAATTTATAAATACCCTCTTAAAGGTTTAAAGCTAGCGTTCTCAGATGATATTTACTGGAGGGCCAGAATGTTATGTTGCGTCTGTTCGAATCTCATATTCACCATTTTATTTCTACACAAGGTATATTTATGTTGTGGATTATTAATGAATATCATGCACAATGACTCAATGCATTTTATTAGAACAGACAAAAACCATCGGTAATGCAACGGATGTTGATCACAAAAACGAATTTGCTGTCATTATTGATCACTCACCTTATCTCTGCTTTTGAACTGGACTGCGAATGGGTTAAGACAGTGAGATAGATAAAATGGTGTGATAAATATTCGTTTTTACTTCGTATTATTTCGTCACAGATTTATCATTGAAATTATTAGCAATGACATTTATCATTTAAATTATTAGCAATGGCATTTATCATTAAAATTATTAGCAATGGCATTTATCATTTAAATTGTTAGCAATGGCATTTATCATTTAAATTATTAGCAATGGCATTTATCATTAAAATTATTAGCAATGGCATTTATCATTTAAATTGTTAGCAATATCAATCATAATTATCATCATTAGTATGATAGTTATCAGTAGCATTGACTTATTTGTCATCATAGTCATCATCAACAGTAATGTTTTTCATGATCATAAACCTAGTCTATCATTAAAATATTTATCGGTAAGCGATAACTTGTCACACACATTTAAGTCAAAACTATGATCGTAAATATTAACGAAACGAAATGTTATGATGAAAACAACCACAATAAATCAAACCAACAGGAAATCTTTGTTTTCCTCACCAACAACACATTTTTATTCTCATGGAATGAATTTCACATGGCACATCTCACAGTATGTCATCCTTATCCCTACCCAATACTACTGCCACATCAACTAACACCACTATTATCAACACTACAGACACATACAGTAACACCGCTATTTCCAACACTACTTCCACATACATTAAAACCACCATCTCCAACACTATTTCCACATCCACTAACACCTCTATTACCCAACACTACTACTATAAACACCAACACTACTTCCACATCCATAACACCACTATCAACAACACTAATGCCACATCCAATAAGACTATTGCCAACACTATTTCCACATCCACTAACACCACTATTACCAACACTTGCGACATTGACTAATACTATTAGCAACACTACTTACACAACCATTAACACCACTATTACTAACACTATTGCTGCATCCACTGACACTATTATCAACACTAATTCCACACCTACTAACACCACTGTTAACAACACTATTGCCACATCCACTATTACTTCCATGACCAATAGTACTGTCACATCCAGTAGCCAACATTACCGACACTGCTGCCACATCCACCATCACCATTGTTGCTAACATTAGCATGTCATCCATTACAGTTGTAATCTTTACTACCAAACCTTTGTATAACATTATTGATTCTAAAAACAAAAATCCATCATATCACCATCACGATCGTCGTGGTCGTCCTTTTCATCAGAACGCTGAAAATGGTAACGATAAACTGAAAATTGCAATGGATGTTGATAAAAAATAATAAAAGCTATCAGTATCGATTAATCGCCTTATCATTTTCGAATAGGATCATAGGTGGACTGAATCACAGATGTGAAATTAGTTCCATTTCCTTCCTATGTCATGTTTAGAGAAGATACGATATTATTTACGGCGCGAAACGATGTTCATCGTAGGCTACAAGTTTTTGAGTCATCACAATCATTAGTATCCTTGTTGTTGTCATCTTCATCATCATTATCATCATCGTCATCTGCTTCATCATTATCATCGACGGGAACAAAAAGCGACAGGAGCAGTGTTACCAATAGATATAAAATCGTCCGCAAATGAAGCACACCTATTGTAAAGAGAGAGAGAGAGAGAGAGAGAGAGAGAGAGAGAGAGAGAGAGAGAGAGAGAGAGAGAGAGAGAGAGAGAGAGAGAGAGAAAGTGAGAGAGAGGAGAGAGAGAGAGAGAGAGAGAGAGAGAGAGAGAGAGAGAGAGAGAGAGAGAGAGAGAGAGAGAGAGAGAGAGAGAGAGAGAGAGAGTTGCCTTCTATGGTGAACATAGGTTTTAACTGTGATATACATGCTCTTTTTGCAACCTATTCCTCATATACTTATGACGAAAAATAAGACAAGCAAATATCAAGAAGAACATTGCGAAATCTCATGATCGGAGAAGAGACTTACACTTAAACGGAGTGGTATTGTACCGTTCGACAGCACTTCCACTTATAGTTTTGTTCACATATTTTATCATTAATATGGGGCTGATATTTGAGTTTATTTTCCTCTCCATTGTGGCTTACATAATGTAAACGTTAGAACACGGAAAGAGATCACGTATGTTCTTTTGAATTCAGTTTTGTATTATTCTTTCAAACCTTTTTACATACTTTGTTTATTTTCCTCGATCTATCGATGATCACACTGACTGTATCTGTTGTACGAGTCATTTCAATTTCTTAAACATCTTAACATTACAGTTTACTTAATAAACTATTGAATATTCAAGACACTAATTTCTTTATACGGTTATCTTCCTTTATCTTAACATTAATACATCCAGAACAAGAACAGAACTTTTTTTTAGAAGGGTATGAAATAACTTAGGAACTGAGGACGGGACTATGTCAATATCTTATTAGAAAATTTTTATACTTAAACATCTTTAAGACTACGTCTCGTTTCAGTGATGCTCCAGAATTTTGGCTTTCTCCTTAAAATTAAGAAATGACTCCATTCCCAAAATAAAAAATTTAATTGTGAGTCTCCTGCTTGAATGTCCCACCCCTTGTAGAGTAACGCCTTTGCTTCCGATACAAAACATTATAATTTAACTCCCAGACCAATACTTAGCTATTTGATGCCCAAATTTAAATACACTACTAAATACATGTTTTGTTCTGATCCAGCGGAAAGAACAAGTTTGATATGGCATAGGGATACGCAGAGGCCGTCAAGCTGATACGTACTCATGAATCATAGCAAGCAAGTTTGGTATATATATATATATATATATATATATATATATATATATATATATATATATATATATATATATATATATATATATATATATATATATATATGCATGCGTGGACTTCAAATAAGAAACCAAATTAGTTTGAATTTGGATGTATGATACGGAAATACTGATTAAACAGCTGTATCAAAAGCCAGATCGCGCGCGCGCGCGTGTGTGTGATTTAAATTTTTAACTTGGCTTTAAAATTTTTTCGTCATATCGCTACGATAAATGCATTGTGGCAGTTTATAGAGATGTCTAGCACAGGGGCATTCAAACCCGCGACCTCCCGCATCTGAGGCAGACACTCTAACCACTATGCCACAGGAGCGGTCCCGTCAGATCATACATGCAAGAATAAATTGGTATATAGTAAAATGGATTTTGTATCATACATATGAGGTGATCGAGATTGAGCACCATACATTTGTGAAATTTAACACGCAGGTTAACATGAAAGCACGTAGTATTATATTTTAAAAGCTATCGTTCATCAGATTTGAGCAGCATACGCGTGAAATCGTGGTCATTAAATAACACTTAAATGTAGTACGATTATTATTTTGAGAGAAATTGTACCGATTTGATTTTTAAATATTGGTTAAGAATACTAAGACAAGATTGTTTGATCGTTTAAACAGGTATGGAGAGCAGATCTGCGGGAATTTTTTTTAAATAAGGAAATTAAGTGTGGTTTAGAAAAAGAAAGTCATCTTAATTTTATCAAATATAAGGACATGTGATGTCGCTGAAATAAAAAATTACGCGTGTCTGCATATAAGCTCAAAACAGAAACAGGTAGATATGATGGAAGCGGAGGGGGTAGTATGAATGAAATATGTGGAATGAGAAATGCGGTATATATTGCAGATGTAATTCCATTGTATACTCAACTGCGTAAAAGATGTATGAAGAAAAATATAATAGCCATCGTAGTATGGATAAAGTTATTAACTTTATGCATGTCTGATAAAACTAATGAAATATTTATTCTAGGAAAACATTTGTATTATGCATTCAACATGGGTATCCATTCTATGAATATTCTTCCGATAATTACGCAATACCTGAATTGTTCTGCTTTATTGTCTGCAAATGGAAATAATTAAAAGAATAAAGCTATTTTACTGAAAACAGAACCAACAGTGTAGTTATTAAAAACCAACACTGACATTTTAATTCCATTTTACAGTACAATGGAGTACAACATTATCTTTTAACAACATATTCAAACTCATTAGTACGAAACTATTGATCGTGGTTTGTAATATATCTCTTCACCAGGTAGTGCTTTGATAATGGATATTGTGAAAACGCCTATTTTCCAAAAGATTAAATCGTTTCCTTGGCAACCAGTAGCTATAGTTTCACCGGCACAGATGAAAAATGGACAAATTTTGTCGTATGTCAAGATCAGCTTCCTTCATTAACTTTGGTTTTCTTTTCTGGTAGACGTTTATAGTTAAACATTGTTTCAACTTCCAATGGTGAAGAGCATATCTTTCATTATCTTTTCTATCCGAAGATAGATAAAAAGTGACTTATAGGCGCTCACCCCCTACCACCCACCCTCCAAAGGAAAAGAAAAAAATGTAAAAATAATACGAAAGAGAACTATTTATCAAAAGGAAAACGGGTGATTTTGGGGAATACATTTCTTTTTGTTTTCTTATTTTCTGCCCAGAAATCTAGATTTGGTCAGACGGTAACACTGTCATGTATTTTTGACTGTAAAAGACACTATCTGGTTCCTAATGACGTCACGGAAAATGTATTCAGCCTAACCGTATAAAAACGGGCTTTAAAATATATCAAACTTAGATCCGTTCTTGAAAATGGAGAGTATAAATCAAAACCCAGTAATAAGATGAATGCTTACTTTTTTTATATAACTCGTTCGTCTGTTTCTTCCTGATATCATTAGCATCTCGTTATTGTTGTTATAATAATAATAATAATAATAATAATAATAATAATAATAATAATAATAATAATAATAATAATAATAATTATTATTATTATTATTATTATTATTATTATTATTATTATTATTATTATTATTAGTAGTAGTAGTAGTAGTAGTAGTTGTTGTAGTAGTAGTAGTTGTAGTAGTAGTAGTAGTAGTAGTAGTAGTAGTAGTAGTAGTAGTAGTAGTAGTAGTATCTTATCAAATTACCCCATGCGCAACCTCTCTAAAAAAAATCGTTTTTTTTTTGTTGTTGCAAATATTATCATCCTTCATGCTCGACTTGTTCAGCTTCTGTAATCCTTCTCACAAGTCAACTATACCAAAGCTCAAATTCTGCAGTACACGCTTATCTTCGTTTTCCAGTTCGCGTGACCCCGTCTTTTTGAAAAAAATGTCGTCTGCAACAAAAGATTCTCCCATCTTCATCCCAGCGGGTCCATTACTCGATAAAGGGGTGACTGGTTCTTTGTCTGCTCTCCGGAGATCATTAACAAAGAGCAAATGGAATTGCCTGGCAACTAGGCATTCGAGCTTATTGAGTTATGAATGGTGAGCGCGTGTATAAATTTGCCTGCGAGCTACTGTCGGGTCATTGATTGTGTAGTGGTTTATAGTAGTTCTTGGATGTTGTCTGTGTTTCGGTGTTGTCGCTTACACCATTGTATATAAGCATATCTACTCTGTTGTTTCACAATGGTTGCTGGAGGTAGGTAGAAACCTTTTAAATATTTTTTTCCCAGAAAGTTTGTAGATTAATAATAATTATTAGATTACAGAATAACAATTGAACTGGTTCCATGCTTCAATTAGAATTAACGTTGTATATTGTCTTTCATCATTAACGTTAAGGTGGCTGAATATATCGGACCAATTCTGCTACCTTGTTAAAATTAAGTACATTCAAAATTTCTGTTATATAAATTTTTTGCGGATATTATGTTTTCGTCGTCAGTTCAATGGATGAAATTTAAAAACCGTATGGAATAGACTATTTCTTGTTGCATGTTTTCTCCTTGTCATGTTTTGTTGTGATGATAAATGAAGTATTTAGATACATTCGTTGCTTCTTTATTATTTAATAACACAAACAGGAATATTCTGGACTCGTCTACCGGAAGCAGACGAAATTTTAAAAAAATAAAATTGTATGATGAATCTATTTAGCTATGGCGCCCATCAACCATGGCAGACGTAAGCAATACAAACCATAGTAAAGACAAGGACCTATTGATTCGCGATGGTGGTAGACAATAGACTTATTTTTATCCAGTAACAGTAATAAGTGGGATGTACATGTTTCAAACAAACCAAAATCCTCATTCACCATGAAAAACAACCGCTGATATACTTTTTCTATATGTTTGTATATAAACATACTTATGTGGGCAGCGGTATCAGCTCATTTCCCAAAAACTGGCAAAATTGACATGTCTACAAATTGGAAAAAATGTTGGTTTTTGAAAACAAGTAAAACGCCACTCCCATATTTTGTGTCTCATGGCCAAGCATTAGGAAGTTCTTCATAACGTAATGTATGAGAAACTTTCACTTTACATTCAGCATAAGCCACCTTTTTTAAAAAAAAAAAATGTCTGCTTTTTGTTTTATAAAGCTACATTAAAAATTCCTCTAGATAAGATGGAATTTAGCTACCGTTTAATTTCCAATAAATGGACAATTATATTTCATGTCCAATTTATTATTATCACCCAATCTTATCAAAACCAATTGAGCCCTAGCCGTGCTAAGTAGTTATCGGATTCAATGATCACTGCACCTCCCTCTTGAAGATAAACTAGAGTGATAAGGGGTGGTATGGAAGAGACTAGCTTGTTTAGTAGAAGCGTACGGCAGCCTATCATACCTTGCCGGGATCTTCTGTTAAAGACGATAAGCTTCCTAAATTAATGATAACTGCTGTATCAAATTGTCGTAATATAGGTTGCGTTTATGTGTCCGAACATCACGGAATTTTAAATGATTGTACTTAATTACATGTTATTATTTTACTTCATCTCAGGTACAGCTGCTCAGTTGTAGTACCAGTCATGCATTTATAACAAAACTCTTCACCCCTCCCCTCTTTTATTTTTTTAATATAAAAAAATATTTTTAAAACGGTTTCTCCACGACATTCGTTTTAAGCTCGATTCACACCATGAAAATGCGTATAAAATTTCAGACAAGACTTTCTTCGTAAACAATACTGATACTTTTTGTATTTTCGTCTTAGGAAAAGGGAATTCAGGAATGTCAATATGCACCTTGAGAAGTTTAGAACGCTTGTGAAAGGTCGCGTCAACATTTAATTTAGACACAGTGAGTGTGTAGTGGTGCCACTGTATAAAAGCCCATATTCCAACATTTGTTTCGCTATTCCCAAAAGACGATTGAAGCGGTTTACAGGACAATGGCTCAATTCGTCATTTTCATCGGGAATTCAAATCTGAGATCTCCCTTTTTGTGTAGTTCACGCATGGTTTCACCTCCTTCGGGTCTTTGTTTGCCCCTGTTTTAGCGGGATTTTGACAGCAGTGTAATGGCTGAAGCAGCTGTCGGCCTTTTACCGAGGTAACAAAAGTTCAAAGAGAGACCTAAAAGTGCCTCATTTAGCAACTTAGGTTTGACTTAGAGGCATGATTTGACACTATTCTTAAGCGGTTCCCTGTTCCCATAAATACACAACAATTGTTCCATATTCCAATTCCCGTCTATTTTTTTTTATAAAAAGTCGCAGTTCTTTACAAGTGCAGATATACAAGTCATCGAAACCAAGGTAATTAATTTTCATTGATCAGCAATATACAGAATGGCTTAGAAATAAATATTCAACCCACCCCCACCCGACCCCCGTCACCTTGTTTATATTCTACCCGTATTAAAGTAACTGTACAAACACACCATTAAGTAAAACTGCGACGATTAGATATTGAATCAGCAAGACGTATCGATAAAACAAAGGAGTGTTTTCTCATTTTACGTCCTGCGTGCTTTATTATTTGCCACTTCATTGGTGGCTGATGAATTCTTGTATTTCTGAAGGAAAAATGGGCTGTTAAGTAAAAGAATGAGAATTAATAAATCCATAATAAAAATTGAATATTTATTGAAATACATAAAAACAAAAACTTGGCTGATTAACATAGATATTCTAACAAGCAAAAGTTAATTTTTTTTTTTCATTTCAAAACATGTACGCATGTTTATGTGTTTTTACAGTACGTCAGCACAATACTGATTCTGTAGTGCCGATTAAGTTTTAAAAATGAAAATGCAGTAATAGTAGTAGTTGTTGTTGTATTAGTAATAATAGTAGCTATTCATTATACCTTGAGGAAAATTTTGGATCGAACGTAAT